GCGCCAAGGTGGGGCGCACCGGAGGCAGTTTGATAGTGGTATTGGTGGGATGGGTTGGGTGCAATGAAGCGAGTTGCAGGTCCTGTAGTGTTATGGTATGTGTGGTGCTGCACATCAGTATGGTTGGGAAGTGGGGCAAGGTCGGGCCGGAAATCTCCACTGAGCGACTCCCATCCATCAGCGACTGCAGGGTCCCAGTCGAGTTCCTGATGGTGATGGCTGGCCATCAAAATGAAACCTGAGGGGTGGGTGGAATGTCAACTCAATAGATTAGGTGGTATAAGATCGGAAACATCACTCACTGTCCTAGGTCTGTTTGATAATATCCAAGGCAAGCTGTTTGGAGGGGAAAGTGGTGTTCAATTGATGCGTGGTCGGATTTCGGAGATGGGGAAATGCCGGGTTTGAGGGTGGAGTGGTCTGGCTGAAACCTTCTCCTCATCATCTCCGATCTTTCGCTGCGAGCACTGCGGTGCGCACCGGCTGTGTCAGACCGCTGGGGTTCCCCCGGTGTCCTCCAGCTCATTTCCCCTGCTGGACGGTCACTCTAGAGAATAATCCACACACTCCAACAAGTATAGCCAAACAAATTTCAGCAGCTCCTTTATTATTCTGTCAGACACACTGACTACGCAGCCGGGCCTCATGGACGATGACATTCTGGGTCTGCTGCCTTCACTTTGTTGATTTCTTTCACATGTTCCTTGGGTTGAAATGTGCTTTTTTGGGTCAATATTAATTATTTTATTGTGTTGTTACACATTGCAGGTTTTGAAAAACTTCCCAAATACCAAGGACAGCAGAGATACCGGTGCCTCATATGTGACAAAAGGACTTGTTTTGCTAGAAATATTCCCGGACACCTGAGAAGCAAGGGTCATCAAGATAAATTGGCGCTCCTGAATGCTTTCAATTTACCACAGCTTCAGCAAGATCATACAGGTGCTCAGGAAATTGACAGTGTCAGAGAGGAAATCAGATTTGCCAATGATACAAGAGGTTCACCAAACGATGAAGTCAACCACGGTCCAGATAATGCCGACCCTGCCGAGTGGGGCCTTGACTCAGATTTGGATGACTCAGGATCTTCCGATGATGGTAGTGAGATCAGTTATGACTTGGATGATTGGTTCAATGGTCAGGATGATGAAGAAATGGGCTCTGGTGCTTCAACAGGGCCATCTCCCACGAATTCTGACAGGGTTGATTTGGACTCCGCATGGTACCCTTTCGCCAATAAAGAGGTGAGTTGAGAAAATGAATCATCACTTTTGGGGTTTAAGCTGGCAGCTCATGATTTGTAATTTGGTCCCCATGTCCTCCGGGTAATCTAGTATCTAATTGCATCCCTGATGTTGGGCCAATTACACAGTTTCATGTCGCGCAAACTGTATGATAAAATTCGATCTATTTTAATATTGGGCCACTTGGATCTACCACACTGGGACACAATTAGGAGGACCAGAACTGGCATTTCAAAAATGTTAAATGCCGAATTGAAGCAGAACCTGTCTGTGTTGAACAACAAGACTTTCATGATAAGTTTGACAAATATCATTGGCAATGTAAGTCAAAGTGATTGAAAACGTATGGTAGTGTTACTGGAAAAAATCCACGCTGAATTGTGATTCATGAATTCTCACAGGAACTGGCCAACCCCTATGTAGTGCCAGACTTGGAATTCATTCCTCACGACCCCAAGGGGAAAAACATCTATGCCCTACACCAAAGTGTAAAATGGAGGGAAGATCTATCGCCCGAGACAAGAGTGCAAATGGTTGAATATTCAGGAAAACATTGGTACATATACGAGCCGGTCATGCTTAGATGGCAAACCCAGCCAATTGTGGTGCCCATTTTTTTCTACAAATTTAACAATGAAGTCTATTCCAAATGCATTCAGCCAAAATTTGAAACCTTACGAACCGAAGATGCACAGCCTGGTGAATTTATCATATATATACCAAACAACATCAAATTCAATGATGGCAACCTCATCGAAGTACCCGTATCAGACTTTGGGCTGCTGCATTCAGAAATCAGAACTGGTCGAGGGGAGAGATTTATGGACAAATGCAGACACCATATAAATAGCAAGTTCAATACCTGTTTCATCCTTTTTTTTCTTGCATGATTCAACAAAGCTAATCTGGTACTTTACACACTCTTGCAGCTCTGGGGCGTGGGGCACCCACCATAAGATATGAAGTGCCTAATCCATGGCGAACACGCGCGGGCGGAAAAGTGATTCGCCATGTCCCCATCACATTATATTCTGATGATACCTCTGGAAACAAGTCTAAAAGATGGAATAAACATGTCTCATACTGCTTCACCCTCAGTGGATTACCACCGGAAATGTCAAACCAGGAATACAATGTGCACTTTATATCGACATCAAACAGAGCTGGGCCTTTGGAGCTTGCTGAGCCCATAGTAGAAGAGCTAAAGTATGTCACCCAATTCACAAGTATCTGCACAGCCCATAATGTTGAACATTTGCATGACCTTTTGTTGCAGTGAATTAGCCACCAAAGGCTCAGTTGCATATGACATCAGCCTTGACCAAGAAGTGCTGTTCATGAGTGTACCACTCTGTTTCTTGGCAGATTCTCCAATGGCAGCTGAGATTACCAACACACCAAACCCTGGTTCCTCAAACAACCCCTGCCGTATGTGTCATTTGAAATGCCCCCAAGGCGGAGAAAGAAGCTCCATGAGCTATATCCGAGAATTTTTTGGATGTCCAAACCTACCAGGAAAACGAATTTGGAGTGAAACTGTTGCAAATACCCAGGACTTGTGGGTCACCTCTCAATCTAGCACCCAGAAAGAATATGAAAGAAAACAACAACTTTACGGCCTCAAGGACAGGATCAATTCCCAAATCATAGAACTGAAACACTCAACACTTGATGAAAGGCAACGTATTATTCAAATGCAGCAGGACACCCCACTCCGAATATTCAACCCATGTTGCTTCCTCAAAGGCTTTGATGGCTGCCTGGACACCCCGGTTGAAATACTACATGTAATCCTTCTTGGAGTGGTCAAGTATTTGTGGAAAGACTTCATGAGTAGAATGAATGAAGATCAACTAAATGAACTTGAGGCACGATGGGGAGCATTCAGCACGGAAGGCCTAAGTGTGCCACCCATTCAGCCCCGCTATATGATTGCACACTACAAGAGTCTCGTAGGCAAAGAATACCGGTTGATCCTTCAGTCTGCCCCATTTGTATTATTTCCTCTGATGACAATGGAGGAGATAGACTTATGGACTGCATTATGTCACATTGGAAGTATGGCTTTTCAGACACACATAGAAAACATGGATGAATACATATGGAAACTCACACATTGGATTAAGGTCTTCTTATTTAATGTGGCCCAAATGAATGCAAGGTGGGTCAACAAGCCAAAATTCCACCACTTAATTCACTTGGCAGAATCTATCAGACGATATGGACCTGCGGCCTTGTTTGCTACAGAAAAATTTGAAAGCTACAATGGTGTGGTGCGGAACAGCTCAATCCACTCGAACAGACAGAGCCCAGGCAGAGATATTGCAACTAGCTTCAACAACTATCACATCATGCGGTGGTTGTCATCAGGAACTAAACTATACAACCATGAGACCAAAACATACTTCACAGCTTCACCTGAAATTACAAATATATTCAAACACAATTTGAACATTCAACAATCAATGGGATACAACACCCGCTCATTACCAAATGGCCATCAGAGGCCTACTATCCATGGACCCCGTGGGAAACCAACCCCATATGAAGATATTCCAACTATTTTGAAAAGCAATTTCCCTTCATATCCCATCCAGAAAATATCAGCCTTGAAGGTAAACCAAAAGAATGTCATCAGGCCTGGCACATTTGTACTGGTCAGTAATGTTTTATCCCATGAATCTATATCCAGATAATTATGAGTCTGATCTCAACAAAAAACAATAATTGATGACAAAAATCAGGAAGAGTCCCCCAGTAATCAACATGGGACCATTGGATACGTGGAAAACATATGGGAAGTAGCCAGAAATCAATTTCACGTTCAACTTAATCGATGCCAAAAAACTGGAGTTCTACCACTAAATGGCACGACAATCCTTGTCAAAACCTTCACATATGGATATGTACCAGCCCAGGTAAGTTCATGAGTAATGAACTCACCCAATGTGTGTTTATATATAAAACCCAGCTGACAAGGATGGCAACCACTTTCAAAACAATCCAACACATCTAGAGCATCATATGCAGCTTGAATGTTCAGCATAACTGCTTTCAATCACAATGCTCAGTAGGCAGAAGAACCATGCCTCCAACAGGAAGACAAGAGGGCAACTCCATCAGTCATCATATCCAACACAGAGACACTAACAGTTTCCTGTTAAACAAATTCTCCCACCATGTCCCATCCCATCACCAAAATCACTCAGACACAACCATTATCCCCATCCCAAGTGACATGATGGATGCAGCAATGGAACAAGGCCTTTATGTATGGGAGAGAGAGAAAAATGGAAACAATTAAAACACAACCACACCAGCCTCAGTACTGATTAAAATTTCAACACATCTTGTCCTTGCAATAAGTATATGCATCTGTGGTATCTCAAATTACATCCATGTGCCAAGTGCCTTTGGAGTTTACCAGCTTGATATGGTAAGTGATAGGAGTATTTCCACTTATTCCCATTGTTTCATTCCCAGTTTTCCTCATTGTAGGACAAACAAGATCATCAGATTGGAAACATAATCTCAAAGAAAAAATAAGGAAAAAGAAAGTAGTATAGTAATTCCATATAATTAATCTTTGATTCCTAGATTTCCCATGACGTAGATAGAAGAAATTTCGATGAGGAAACAATAAATCAATAAAATTCTTAGTAGATGATAGATTTGCCAATTGAATAGGGTATATCATGTGAGCAATGCAATGACCAATTTATAATTAATCAGAAATAACCGAAAAAAGCCAATCAATTAGACTGCCGGTCCAAATCGTTCTTCAACCTGCCTAACAGTCGCAACGACACCAGCCACTATCAAACGAGCTGCACCCCGGCGAAATCCAGCTTTGACGAGGTCGGCTTCAGTCATTCCTTTGAAGGCCGACCAGTGATAGAAGTCGTTGTCGTCCATGACCGACAAAGTGTGTTCGTCATCCGGGCGCAGGTGACAAATAAAGAAAAATTCAAACATGCTGATATCGACACTGGCGGAGTAGAGACGTTGACGCTTAGCGGGTGGGTGGTGATCAGAGGCTGCAGATTCATCATTGACAGCTTGCTCATCGGTCGCGCAAATATCGGTGTGAGTGGTGTCGATGAAATTGACCTCCGCCTCGCCCTCTGTCTCGGTATCGGTGGCTTGAATCCGCTGAAGCCCAACCAATCTTGTCAGTTGCCTCATTTACATTGGTCAGATTAGAATCAAGACATACCTCTGCTATTGCTTGATCATCATCTGTCAAGTCATCGTCGGTATGATGGGGACGTGACCTCACGTAAGACTCATAGTATTCTTCACTGTATTTGATTCGAACATCGCCAACAAATCCCTTTTTAGCATTCAAGAGCTTGCGTCGGAAGGCGGCGTACTTGGCTGGGAAAGTGTAGAAGTAGACGGGACCATAGGGACTACGAGTGGTGATGCGCCCGACCCACACGAGATGCCCTAGTTTCATCTCGTACTTGATTATGCCCGCCACGTCGTGATCTGCAGGAACCGTCTTAAGCAGCTCGAAAACTTTATCCTGGAACTTCTTATACGAGATCGACCTGGTAGTGACATCCAAGGGAAGCATTGGGTTTCGAAAAATATCCGAGTGCCCGCTTCTAACGTCCGGGTTAGCGAGCTGCAGGATCGTATCCACGATCCACGGGTCGTAGCGGATAAGGAGCCGCATTGTCGAAGGCTTGGGGGCTGCAGTCGGTTGCTCGGCTGCCTCAGTTGAATGTTCGATGGGTCGGGCAGGAACCATCTCGCCGGGGGTTTCCGACTGAATCCTTGCCGCAGGCGTAGTTGGTATCACCGGTGCCGAGCTATTCTTATCGGGCAACTTGCTCGGTGAATCGGCGGTAATCTTCTCGGCAGGCATCTTCGGCGTGGTGGTTGTGAAGTTGGACATCTCGGAGGGGGTTTCGAGAGGCAGCGATGAGGG